CTTCGACTTGCGACCAACTCGACTTGCGATCAGAGTCACGGAATGGATTAAGTTCGTAAGTAGAGGTACCACTGTAGTCCTAGTTTGCTCATTTCCCGAGAACTTCCCTACTCCTTATTTTCCAAACCATCATTCCCTACTTCCATTTTCTTGACGCTGCTGTTCCTGGGAAATCGCAAAGGAATAGCCTGCCACCTCAGTACTTCGGTAATACAATAATTAAATACTTCATATCTGCAAATGTTACTGACAGACTAAAATGTAGATGAGCTTAATCTTTGTCAAAGTTCCGCAGCTGGTTTATCTAGCATGATCCAGCATAGCATGTAATTCTTCAGCATATACACACAAGTCTGCATTACAGAGATGAGTGATGATAATGTTCTCGCCCTTCAGAGCAAGCACAGACACGATGATGCCCTCCAAACATCCTGGTCTTCCATCTGACTATGGAAGTCTATGGTGACCATAGAGGGCAAAGAGCAGTAAAGAACTGCTATAGACTACCACAGCACAAACCACTCCTTCTCTTAACATATAATCCTAAGGACTGCAGATCAATATACAGATATAAGCCCTTGCAAATCAAATGTGGAAGAATAATATATTTCACTTTCCAACTCAGGTTCTGCTCTTAATTTAGCCTATATTTCTGAGGTGTCCTGTCCAATTCATATATATTATCTGGAATAAGAAACAATATCTGTGTACTTGATAATGGATGCAAAGATCCAAACAAACATGGAAGAAACACTCCCCCCAGGAAAAACAACAGCTACTTCAGTCTATATAGATACATTAAAATATATTATTTTACTGCAATTATAATGTGTTTATAAATATATTGCTGATCAGCACAAAATCCGAACAAATTGGAATTTGAGCCTTCTGTTAGGTGCTTCAAGACCACAAATGAGAAAAGATAACCGCTGTTTGATAACTATGACTTTGGTTAAACTGGACATCCTAAATTATACAGCCAAGATGTAAAATAATCACTGGGAAATTTTCCCTCTATTCATGAAGAATCAGTCAATTAGCTTTTGATTATATGAATGCTGCAGTTATTCAAAGTGCCCCTTTGGATTTCCCAGCATATCACCATTATATTTGTATATACTGTATACCTTAATTTGCCCTGGATGTGCAAACTGCACTTTAGAAAAAAATACAGTATTCCTATTGCAGTAACAAGCAGAATAATTCACTGCATTCATTTCAGATCCTATCATATTTCTTTGAATTATGATAATTTTGTACTGCCTCCTGCATTATAAGAAGCTGCATTAAAACAGCATTTTTAATGAAATGCTGCCTCTTAAGTCTCAGTCTCAAATCTGATAAAAAGGCCTGATAATTTTTTTCTAGAGAACAGATTTCTGCAACCAGGAAGGAGTCTCCCTTTCTTTCCAGGATTTTGTTTTTCTTTTGATGAAGACGGTCCATTATTATATATTTTACATCTGCTTCTTTTGCCTTGATGGATTTTTAATAATCTACACACTAGACTGAAACTGAACCTAGGAAAAATTACTGAAGCAAATTAAGTGAGAATAAAGGCTTATATTAAAGGTAATCGGGCTAGAACCATAAAAAATATGAAGTCTATATCCTAATTCACCAATTACGATGGGTTTTCAAGCAAGAACAAGATTCAGCACTCTGAAATACAAAACCGTGCCACCTAATTCGGCTATGTCCTCTACGTTACAAAGGAGTAGTGACTTCCAAATCCACACCGGAGATACTCCTAACTTGTTTTCAAAAAGAATCCAGTAGTTTCCCTGTTCTGGCATGCCTATGAGTAACCGGAGACATGATCCAGTTCTGATCTCCTCTGTTATCAAACGCAAGCTATAAATCTGCAGACTTCTCTGTACTGATAATCCCCAGGTATAATTAATGTTTAGGGACCACTTGGCTCTACTGCTGTGCAAAATCCAACGCATGCAGAGCAGAAGCAAACCACCACAAGAAGCTGCAAGTCTACCACACCCTGGGAAGAGTGGTAACCATGTCCCCAGATACATCACTGCTGGTGTTGTTTCCCAGCAGCTGGCTCATATTATCAAGTTATCCTCCAGCCTTGATTCACATAGAATCTGCTGGTTTGGGCTGTCTGCGCTGCTTTGAAGCAGGCTCATTTGATACACCGGATCACTTTGGAGCTTTTATTCTTACGTCTAAAACAATCAACAGAATGAGA